TAACAGCTGCAGCTGTTTTCTTAATTAAGTTAAGAATAAAGTTAATAAGAGATATTCTCTATAATATCTGATAACACAGTAAGCTCTTTAAATAACAGTTTTCTTTTTACAGATTACTGTTAATAAAGATATATCAGAACTATGAATTTTATAATAATAAAACTTAATCTCAGATAACATGTCTGTTTTAATAGACTATTTACAGGCTTAAGAGACTGCTGTTAATTACATGAAGTATTAATATGTCTAAAATAACAGAGAAAGTTCAGACTTATTTATTATAGAATCTGTGACTATAGAAGAATCTGATTTCACTGTACATATCTATTTACAGTTTTACACAGTGTAAAGAGATAATCAGTGATAGAAAAGATGTAATGAGAGAAGATTATAATATCTGAGTTCTCTGAGTGTGACATTGAAGACAGACAGCTGTAGAAGTAGTAGAACACTGTAAAGAAATGAATTGATTAAGAGACTAGTTTTGCAAGCAGTGAATGCAGGCTTTTGATGTATTATTCATTCTTGAGAATCTATAAGAGATGATTGATCAGATGTGTTATCTATTCAAGAATCTGTACAGAGTAGATAGTTAATGAGATGTGTGATCTATTATTCAAGGATCTGTACAGAGTAGATGATATGGTTGATGATATGGTTGATGAGATGAAAGATGAACGCGTTGTGGGTGTGTTAGAAGAAGTCATAGTGCAATGTCATGGGATTGTGCTTCACTTAATTCTACACCAATCAGTGGGCTGTATTCGCGCCAAGAACCCCAAAAAGGAAATTCTCCACTTTTAATGACCAGGGTTTTCATCATATATTTGCTTCGCTTCGCTCCGCAAATTAACTATCTCTGAAAAACCCTTCGCATCAAGGACACAACAGCGGGAAGGAGAACGGGGAAAGATAATAATGAAGATGAAGAAGACGTCATCGGCCGTTTATCCATCCATGGATGGCATCCACGCCGGCCCGAAACAGAATCCGGGCGTTGTTGTTGCCAATAATAATTCTTAATTCTTCCCCGGAGCCTTTCTCCAAGGAGCAAGGAGATGAGATGATGGAGAGTGATTAATCAGATATATCTCTAGGCAGTGAGCGATGGATGAATATTAGAATATTATTGAATTCCGATGCCCATGAAAGAAAAGTCTAATCCGGTGTCTGTACAGAGTTATGGTAACCTAAGTAAGGGCTTGTAATGCGTCCAGGATGGTGAGGATTGTGAGTGACAGACTCAGTTAGGTTCACAGTTTGAGTGAGTGAGTGGTTGCGGTGTTGGTGGTACAGATAGATTGTTCTTGAAACAAGCTCCCAGGGGACACATGTAAAAAATTAATTATACTTATACACACACACACACATATATATATATATATATGAAATTGAGGAGTATTACTCGTAAAACGAGATAGTTAAATATTCAATAAATGTAATCAAATAACAGCCCAAATGGTTGAGGAGGAGGAGCACCCTTTTATCTATCTAGCTATCATCACACCCCCACACGATGCGAACGTACGTCAAGAAAAAGAAACCAAATAAGCTACTGTTCAAACAATAATCATTTAATAATATATTATTTCCAGGTTGTGTCTGGTTTACCAACAGCCTCACTCTGAATGGCGGTGGCCCTCTACCACCCCACGGGGGAATGGGTGAGTTATTATTATAACTATTTAACTACTCTGTCTTAGCTGGGGAAAATAAATACAGAGTAAATTTCGGTGAAACTGAGCCTGGCATAGTTATATAGCTTATTTTTCTGCTGGGAGATTTTATATCTATATTACTCGATACGATACAGTTATATAGTTATATTAGTTAGTAACTTACTTTTCTTTTACTATGAATGACCCTTTTGCCCGGCATGGCATAGCATGATACATGCATGGCCTGAACCTGACCGCCTCGATGGCGTGAGTGAGTTGTTAAAAAGTCCATCCCTCGTGCCGGCTTGCCTCTTCCGGAACGAAATGGGCTAGGGACGGACTAACATGACAGTACATGTACATGTACAGTACATATATAGTACGCAAGCGTACTCCGCACAGCTACAGAGTATGTACTGTACTAGGGCTGTCATATGTTCTCAAAAAATCGCTCATACTAAATGAAACCTTTGAATCTTCTCTAACTATATATTAAAGAAAAACCAACTTTTTCGTGCAAAAAACGCTGTAACGTGACCCCTCTACCCCATCACTTCCACCTCATATCCACTCTCTTACCACTCCTACCACCCCTTCCACCTCTACCCTATCTACCACCACCACTGCGTCTACCGCCCCACAGCACCCCCTATCACTTCCACTTCATACCTTTACCCCCATCTTACCACTCACTCTCTTACCACTCCTACCCCCCTACTACCTCTACCCCCTCTACCACCACTACTGCCTCTACCGCCCCACAGCACCCTCTATCACTTCCACTCTCTATCTCTACCCTCATCTTACCATTCTACCCCTCTCTTACCATCTCTATCGCTTCTCCCACTCCTACCACCTCTATCACCACCACTGCCTCTATCACCCCTCTCTATCACCTTTTCCACCCCTTTCACCTCTATCACCACCACTACCTCTACTGCTCTGCACTCTCTTCTATCACTTTCACTATCTCTACTTCTCTCTTACTATATCTACCACATTTTGATCTCTGTGTTTATAGTATATACTGCTAAATACTCTGTAATAAAGAGAGTGGAAGGGGTGGAAGGGGGGGGGGGTTGCGGGGCGGTAGAGGGGGTAGGGGGTGGAAAAGGTGGTAGGGGTGTTAAGGAGGGGGTGAAGGTAGGGGG